CAGTATGATGATTTTCCGTTTATTTAGCACCTACCCTCTGTGCTAATGGTTAGATGAGAACATCTGCTGTAAAAGTTGGGGTGTCCTTATAACCACCTTTATACAGGACATTAGTAGAAAACGTGTTCACTAATAACCGCTCCGATCATGATTGCCAGTCTCTTTAGAACATAGCAGCGATAGGCCTTAACTCTTCTATGTGTTAAAACATCATCATCATTATCTTACAATTCCAGTATGTTTGTTGGTTGGCGGAGCAATTTGCACATTTGCCATCTACAATTTACAGTGATGTATTTTCTTTGGCGTCTTAATTATCTTTTTAGGATCTGTTCGGAATTGCTAAATTATTAGATTCAGCGTATGCAATAGTGGATGTTTTTCGTGTCCTGAGCCCAATTAATTTGTACATCTCTGGAACAGCTGGTGGCATTTAGACTCTAAATAGTGCTTATTCTCCTGAGTGCACACCATTACAGTCAGGTGTTGGAAACATCGCATGAGCTATTTAATGGAAAGGCAGCCCCATAAATGTGAAAAATCATCTTTATTTGCCATAGAATCATTACAACGCGTGTTTACATCACATCTATAATTACATTGCATTAGTTGAATTAAAAATTGTTTACCTTAGAAGCATTTAAGCACGACATTGCGCATGTTAATATATAATAGAGATCAGAAGGAGAAGACAATTTAATGTAATTGTTTCAGTCTAGAATGGAAAACAAAAGTTCAGGAGAATACTATGTACCAATTTAGTAATTATATTTACTTTGATGGTGTGTGGCCTGCCAGTGCCATATGTTTATAGTTCAGACCGTGCAGGAAATATTTTATATTTAAAAGAAGGCTATTAACCAAATAATAAAAAATACATAAACTATATACATAGCACAAATATTTTTATTTTATAGGCTAGCGCATTTTGATAAAAAATCTTTTACTTGTGTATTTACTATGAAAATGTAAACATGATGTGGTCTGCTTGGCTCCCATCCACAGATCTACCACTTTCCCGTTCCGGTGTTGAACTAATTAATTTCAGGGTTTCTTGAAACAGCAAGAATAAAGCTATCCACAAACTAGTACTTTGGTTTGTGGTGACAGGAGCCCAGCTTAGTTGGTGTTGGAAATTCAACTGGTGGATAAATATTGGCACCCCTTCCCCTGTCCTCTATGATATGCTAATACAGTCTTCCTCCTCACCAACCTTAAAGCTGAAGTTTGCTCTACTCAGATTTTGCCTTGCCTGAAATTTGATAGGTATTAAAATACCATGTTAAGAAATATTTTTCCCCGGTTCCTCTTTTCTTTCCACTTACAGACATTCTAATAATTTTTTTTTAAATAAAACCTTTCTGTTTTCATTACATTTTATGCCCATTTTATATGATCACTGGGTCTGCAATGCAGGTAGATTATGCTTGGTGGGAGGGACTGCACATGGCACTCTGTCTCAGTACTTGTATCAAGAGCCTTGATGCACACTGTGAGCTGTCTTGATGGGTGGGTGTCAGTCTATAGGCATGGGCGTTCCTAGCAGGGACGTGCGGTCAGGGGTGGCAAAGCACCATTGGTCCAAGCTGTCCAATCAAAAAAAAAACCACTGAGGACATTGATCTTGATGCTTCACCAGTGACGAGCAAGTGAGGGAAAGGGAGGCTTCTCCCTGTCTCCTCTATCCCTCCCTCCAAGTAAAGCTTGGTGACCGGGGTGGGGCTTCGGCAGGCTGGGGGGTGGGGCTTCGATGGGCTGGGGGCTCGGTGGGGCTGGGGGAATGCCTCACTCAGCACGGAAGATAGCGCACGTCCTGGTTTTTAGGTGCACTGAATTTGTATGCAGGCCACCCTAGGTCACGCCAACATGTATTGCTGAACCTCTGTGATTCAAAGATCTAAAATCCAATTATTAAAAGGTGTGGTCCAGGGACTGTCAGACAGGGAGGGAAAGGGTTACATAAGGGGTGGGCACCTCCAGCCCTCCAGGATCAAGGATGAAGGTAGTTCTCCAGTTGGACTGCACTCGTAGGAGTTGGGGGGTCATTCTTATACCAAAAGTACAGTTGTCCTTTTACCTGAACCTTGAAGTGTATTTTTACTTTTGGATAGAGTGTGAATGTGTTAATCCTTTGTCAGGTTTTTATTACTGTCTGTATGACCATTTGACCCTATATGCCCTGGTGACCATTGCCAAGCTCATTCGACAACATGTGTCGGCATATTGCTGTTTCTATTGTATTGCTATAGTGAGATTTGTGTGGTAGTCACTGTGGCTGCTGGAGATGGGTATAAATCACAAAAATCCTGTGTTTATGCTTTAGCAGTCTTCTTTTCTGTCTGAGTGACAGAACTAATTTAATCAAATGAAGTAACAGAAGCATTAACTTTTGTTTCACCACAGCTTTGAAGTGAGATTGCATCCCGAAGGAATGAATGATTACAGCAGGGGGTGGGAGCTTGGAAATCATTATGTGTTATTTTGTATTTGATTCTGTATGATTAATACAGCAGCAAGTAGATTTTTTTATTAAACATTTGTATTGAGAGTTTTGAAAACATAAAATTACAAAGCATACAAGGGTTAAAAAAAACGTACAAAGTAGCTGAAGATGATATACAAGGTAAACATACAGGGGTCTATGCCATATATTGCTCTGGTAGTATTAGCCTGTACACAACAAGTTAGGTAAAGCAGAAGGGCCAGGTTAATATAGTGATCATGAAGAGATCTGACTAGAAGAGGGTAACGTATTTCACCTAGAATACATCAGTGGTCCAGACTATAACAAGACATTGTGTCCGCCTGAATCAAAAAAAAGCTCCTATGTTGTACAGGTGCATTACATACTTATAAATGTTCATGGAAAGGGATATCTGTCTTCATCCTATTTTCAATTGACCCAAAGAACGAGTGAGGTCTTTCCTGACATACCAGTTGGTATATTTGAGCATTAGCACAATAGTTTTTATTTCCACTTTTGTCAATTACCGTATTTTTCCGTCTATAAGACGCCCCCATGTATAGGACGCCCCCCACTTTTCTTACCCAAAATTCAGAAATCAATATTTGCCATGCTTTTTTGCATAACTGATTACATCCAGTTTAAGAGTAAGACAGCCGCTTACTGGTACCGGTATTTACCGGTATTTTTTTTGTTTTCTGACATTTTTATGGGCTCCCTGTTGCATCTGGGCACTGGCTACACGCTCTCCGCAGCATCAGCTGACGCCGGGTACATAAGGCTCATGATTGGAGGAAACCTGTTAGCTTGTCTCTGCAATCGGAAGTTTCACTCGTGCGGCTAGTTTGCAGAGGTATCGGCAGTTTCGCAACCGCGGTTCTCCTCTCGGCCCCCCCCCCCCCCACCCCCGTGTATAAGACGCACCTCCATTTTTAGGTCAATATTTTAAAGAAAAAGTATAGTCTTATACATGGAAAAATACAGTACTTTTTCTTGTAGAGATTTTATATCCTTTATTTTTGTTCTTTAAAGACCGAAGTCAATATAATAACCAAAAACAAATTCACCCAAAAAACAACATATTTAAGTATACAGCAGAACATATATCTACCATACAATGGCAAAAAAAAGAAACAGAAGAGAAACACCAAAAAGAAAAAAATTACATTAAGTTATCAAAAGCTAATCAAAAAAAATTACAGCAAGTAGATTTTTACTTAAATGAATGTGCAAATATGGTGAAATTAGGATTATGCTAAATCAGGGGTAGGCAACTTCGGCACTCCACCTGTCGTGGAACTACAAGTCTCTTGACGCATGACTTTCAGATGCAGAGGCATAATGGGATTTGTAATTTTACCACAGCTGAAGTGCTGAGGTTGCTTACACCTGTGCTATGCGAACATTACTTTATGTGTAAAACATGTCTAAATCCAAAACCAAAAAACTAAAGTGCAACTGAGGCCAAAATATTTTTATTTTTGGATGGAGTGGAGGGGAATAAGAACACCTGTCAGGTTTTTATTGCTAATGGGAGATTCACCCCCTCTTATGTGTCTTGGGGAATTTTATGACTGAAAGTGAAATTGACAGAAAATCCCACATTTTGGGTTGTCATCAGAACAGGGTGGGAAATTCTCCAATGGAAACACTAGTTCTAGTGACCCAGCTGACCACCATGGATTTGCCTCTCTTTGGAGGTATTTATTCTCACTTCCTGTTGTGGCTATGGGAAAAGATGTGAAGGGAAATCACCTTAATGGGACACAGATGGCAAGAAAATGCTCACAGGGCTTATAACTCTCCTTTGTTCTATCGAAAACAAAAAACAAATTGTCTTCAGTTCTACTTTAATATATTACAGCTTACCAGTCCTTAGATAATGTGACTGCATTTGTTTTTTGTTTTTTTTAAATTATTTTCACCTGGTAATCCTGTGAAAAACACGTCCTGTCCTGGGTGGCTGCACTCATTCACTCTACTGTATCTCTGGAGAGAGCCATGACTGTCACCCAGTCTGAACTTCAAACATGTCTTCCTCACTTCATCTCCATTACCGTGTGGGGTTGATGGAATAAGTAGTTTACACAAAAATGTAACATTGTGTTCAGTTCCACTTCCTCTGACAGGAAGTGACAAGGACCCAGCATTTCTGCCTAGATCAGGGGTGGGCAAACTCCAGCCCTCTACAAGTCCCATGAGGCATTGCAAGATTCTCACAGCCATAGGCATGACTCCCACGGACACATGCATCATGGGATTTGTAGTTGCACCACAACTGAAGGGCCGGAGTTTGCCCGCCTCCAACCTAGATCAACAGGTAGTTTCTGTACTTGCTGAAAATGTCCTTGAAAAACAAAAGCGAATTTAGCCACCACATCTAAGGACTGGTCGGCTGCAACAACAGAAGACATTTATGTTCTTAGGTTTAGATATGTGTTCATATTGTACATTTTAAATAAACCACGCTTCTTTTTTAAAGGTCTACCCCCATGAATCGGGCTGATTTAATTTTGTTTGTCCTTTTCTGAACTAGATGCTGAAAAAGACGAGAGCTCCGAAGACATTTCAATGCCCTGCAGTCCACAGACTGAAGCAATTCAACACAGTTCAATCAGCACTTCCAATGGCGTGAGTTCCACCTCAGTGGCAGAAGCAATAGCAACATCTGTTCTCACCCAGATGGCAGACCAGAGCACCGAACCAGCTGCCTCACATTCTGCCGTGGCACCACCTCCTCCTCCACCTCCTCAGCCTCCAGGAAGTTGATCGCAAACCTATTATTGCACCAACTCTTCGCAACCATCGAGAGGAAAAGTGCATTATAGAAAAAGGTTTCCAACACTCAGGCCGGTGAGTCCGCAATAGGCCTAATTAAAACCTGTGAAGAAGAAGGTTTTAATCGGGGTCCTTTTACCGGCTCTCAGGGCTGAATTCTGGGGAGTTTGGTTGTTTTTTTTTTAATGCACTTGTTAACCGCCCTTCCACATGCACCTCTCATGCTGGGTATAAATTGACGAGCTGCTTGCCATATTTTCTCTTTACTTATTTGGTACATGCACAAGATAGGTCTTCAGCTCTCTGGGATTGTTCTGGTATTCTCATTCATACTGTACCTTTAAGAAAGGCTGGGGTACCCTCCAGGCAAGCCTGTTCTTAATTTAGTCACTTTTATAGAAGTCCTGGTGTTGGCACTCTACTAGTGGGACCGCACTTTTGCAGAGGCACTTTGTTAGTGGTTTGTGGCTTCCAGGTATATTTGCAGAATGTTGTCTCTCAGACCTCTGCTTTCATTTAAAGCACGTTTTAATTAGGTCAATTTTCTGGCTGGCGGGTTCCTTTGCTGAGCAGCCTATTTTTTTTAATGCACTTGTAGTGAACGAGGCAGTTCACTACAAGTGCTTTAAAAAAAATACCTCAAGTGCATATTCCTAATTATATGAAAGGATTTACTTACCATTTGCCCTCTTTGGATAGTAAATTATTTTTTTATTTTTTTTTAAAGGCAAGTCTTAGGGAAATGTTTCTGTTGCAATGGGGCTACCCCCGTATTGTAAGAGTTAAGTGCTTGTTTTTGTCTGAGTACAAAAATAAAAAGTCATACTCACCCGATCCTCAGAGACAGTTTGCTCTTAGATTGGTGCTTCCAGTGTCTCTCCCCTTCCGCTGCAACGGTCTAAGGTCCCTGATAGACATGTGCGATTCGTTTCGTTCCGAATTTCGATTCGGACGAATGATTCCAAATTACAGACATAACGAATGCAAACGAATCCGAATTTCCATTTCCAAAATTCGGTAGCGGTAGTTCGAACGTTCGTTTAGTTTTCTGTTCTTATTCGTTTCGTTCGTTGGAGCAAAGTGACATTAGCGAAGGAAAAAAATATTTTTTCCCCCTCAAATATCACTTTGCTGCAAACGAACGAAACGAATAAGAAACGAACAGAAAACGAAACGAACGTTCGAACTACCGCTACCGAATTTCGTCCGAATCCGAATTGACTTTCACACCCGAATCCCAAAAAACGAAATAACACAAATCCGAATTTAAAACGAAACAAAACTAAACAAATTTTTTGGCAGTGCACATGTCTAGTCCCTGAGTCATCACGTTCTATACACAGTGTATAGCAGCTGTGGTGGAACTACAACTCCCATAATGTCTCTGTCTGCGGGAGTCATGCCTGTGGTTGTCAGCCTTGTAATGCCTCATGGGACTTGTAGTTTCGCCACAGCTGGATAGCCAATGTTGTCTACCCCTGGTGTATAGGACATGAAGATGCAGAGGGACATAACATTTCTGCAACGGAGGACGAAACAGGCAGGAGGGAGCGCTGTCACAGCTGGCCAGCTCTGAAGTTCAGGTGAGTATAACTTTTTTATTTTTGCACCTAGACCTAAACGAGCACTTAACCCTTGCAGTGCATGGGTAGCCCCACTACAAGGGCTAAGTAAAAATGTTCCCTTCAGTTCTTCTTTAAAGGTATAAAAGTCTAACATTTTACACAATAGCCACAATGGAGCAAGATTTTTTTTTTTTATTTATTTTATTTATTTATTTTTACAAAACTGTGTTGCCATACGGTTTACCTGTCCCTACGTCATCTAAAATCATTTTTAAAATGGGGCTAAAATTGTTAGCTGATACTCTTTTAAAAAGTCTCGGGATCATCATTTAAGACCTAGTGCAGGAGTTCTTGTTATATTAATTGTACATTTATACCAAAGTTCTGCATAGTCCCTTTTCATTTTTAATCTACGTTTTTAGTGCATTAGGCCTGGTAAAAAAAATGTTTGTTTGTTTTTTATTGTTTTTGCACAAAAAGAAGAATAATGGCGAAAGTATGGTTTTGTAAATTATTTTTTCTTCTTTTTTATTTGCACATGGTTTGTGACTTAATGACATTTACAAACTTCTTCTCAAGTGGGGACAGTCACTACTTTATTTTATATTTCTCCGGAAATGATAAGATGCTTGGCTCTTTAACTTTAATACGTTCTAGTCTAAGTGCAATTCTTTAGTTTTATTGCCTTTTTGTTTGTTTGTTTTAATTTATTTTGGAGAACTTATTGAAAATCGTGAATATAATTCATCCGTGAAGTGCTAGTTTATTAGTAGAATAGTTTATGGAAATTCACATCTTTATGTGCTTCACTGGCTCCCCCCTCCCCCCACCCAACAATGTATGTTTAATATGAGTGTAACTGCCAGAAAAAGAACCTGGAAATCCAACAGTACATTTGACAACGTGGAACGTATTTGTGTCACTGTGTTTGCAAGCTGACTTGTACTTATTTCTTGTGTAAACACGGTCATCTTGCTGTAGCAGACTTTTGATACATTTCTTGTGGATAAATGAAGCAGTATCTTGGAAATGTGCATTTTTTTGGTGTGAGTATGTGAGTTAGTAGTGCAAGGGGATTGTGGGGAGGGGGGGGGTTGCAGAGGAGAGAATGAAGCCCTTAGGTGAAGCCAGCAAACTATGCTTGAATGTTTCCGAGATGCCTTCGATGTGATGCTGGCTTCAAACCCCAATTTTAAATAAGTTTGATAACAAACATTCCATAATGTAGCTTGTGGTGGGGGAAAAAGATGATTGTAAGTTCCACATTCTCATGATAAATGTTGCCTGCAGGATACAGAGTCCTCTCTAGAGGGTCGCCAACTGTCCTTTTTTTTTTTTTAGCAGGGACAGTCTTGTTTTTAATACAGCAGACCTATAGTGTGACCTTTATTTTAACATTAATGAAAAGAAACACAGAATCGTTTTGTCTTGTAATAATATCCATTCTCTATCCCCGAAGTACTGCAGGAATTTCCTTAAAGAAGAACTTCGGGTAGAACTTATATTAACCCTTGCAGTGGGGCTACGCCTGCACTGCAAGGGTTAAGTGCTTGTTTTTGTCTAGGGTAAAAAAAAGAAAAGTTATACTTACCTAAACCTCCGAGCCAGCCGCCTCTTAGACTGGTCCCTTGTGCGTCTATCCCCCTCCTCTGTAGCGGTCTAGGAATCCTCATCACCCTCGTCCAATAAAGTACATTAGACGCGAGGATGCTGAGGGACATACCATCGCTGCAGTGGAGGAGGGGGCACTGCTGACTCCGAGGATCGTGTGAGTATAACATTTTTTCTTCTTTTGACCCTAGGCAAAAACGAGGCATTTTGTACGGTCCGGAAACGCAAAACGCGTCAAAAACGCACTGCATTTTTTTTAACTGGAACGCATCAAAAATGCGGCAAAAACACATAGCACCGCGTCTGCTGATCCGGACCTGATCAGGACCTGAAACTCATGTGAACAGGCCCTAAAGCCCAACTACAGCTCCTGCCTCTTGGCTCCCAGTTCTTCCTCTCCTGCCCCCTAGAAGCCTCCCATCTGTCATTTATGTGTTTGTTTGTTTTTAATAGATTCCTTTTCCAGATGTCTTCAGGTCAGTCACATGATGCATAGGGTCCTCTTCAGATCTTCTTCAATGTGGGCAGTCCCTAATGATTAGCGCCACTCGCTGTATCATTGTATGTGTGCGCAGGGCACCATAGTATCGTGCTCTTAGGTTGTGACACTGTACTCACACGATGTCTTCATTCTTCCGGGTTGAATGAGGACATCTGAAGGCAAACATGGAATACTGTGAGGAACAGTACTGAGGAGCAGGTAAGTATTGCAGCCAGACCTGCTTTATTTATCTTGCCAGGGCACCATTTTTTTTGTAATTTTGGCGAGAGTTGCGCTTTAAGATCTCCTGGCAGAGACCATATCACTACTTTTCATATGGCCAAGCAGTGAAAGAAAACAGAAATAGAATTATTACATAATACATTCTGTGGCCTTTTTTTCTTTTTACAATGTCAAGCAGAATGAATGTTACAATAAAGGTCTTAATTTAATACTTTAGGTCTGCTTCAAATCATATTAGCGAGTTCTGTTTAGATTGCAGTCCCAAAATAACAAAAAGCAAATGTTAGTCTGGAGGAATTCTGTACAGACTGATAATATTTCATTTACTCCTACAGGCTGATAACCCAACAAACCTCAATACTGTCCTTTATATTTCATGTAGGAACGTTGGTGATCCTACCTCTCAATGTGCCATTATTGACTTTGATTCACAATGCAATATCTCACAAGAATCACTAGAAGTGTGTTTAGTTGACTTCAGATCACTTAAATGCAAAATTCTCTTGTATATAATCAAAGCTTTTGCAGCCTGCCTGCAACAGTGATCACTTCTTTCTTACCTTCCTCAGACTGGTAATTGTCATGTACCCTGTCTAAATTAAATATTTTAATCTAGATTAAATAATTTATATGATGTTTTAGATTGAGTTCTAAATGCAAACTAGACTTAAATCAATTTGCACCTGTCATACTTTAGTACGGCTGCGAGTCAGCATGAATTAATCACTGGATGAAACTGTAGTAATCCACGCTGAGGACAATGCACTACCTTTTTTTTTATTATTGTTTTTAATTTATTTTTAATTACATTTTTTGAGCTGAAGGGGCATACTGTACGTTCTTCTGTGTCTAATGCCAATTAACTTCAGCCGCATTAAAATGTGAATTTTGCAGAAAAGCTTTACCTTTTATTTGTTGTTGAAATTACAGTTCATTTGTGATTTACTGGATGTGAAAGAGAAAACTGTCATGTTATTTATACTTTTTTTTTGTATTATAAATGTATCTAGCTGTAAATTAAACTTTTGCGCAAGTATGGAGAGAAAATGTATTTGGTGAATGGTGTTAGTTCTAATATTAGAAAAAAAAAATGTGCATCTGTGTTTGGCAAGTAAAATAAGTAAATGATTTTGTTCTTAATCCATTTCACT